AAGATTTCAAAGCGCTATAGCTAGCGAATGGGCAGGAGTCGCACAAACCTATGAACACTATTTAACGGTCGACTTTTGTCCGGCTTACCCGGCGTGTCGCCTTGCGCAATGTAGAGTTATATATTGGTCAACTGATTCCTTTCACTGCTCTAATTCAACTGTTCTTCTTCCATGATCAAGATAGTAGATTTTACCATACAATACTCGCGATTAGTTTATTTGCTTTTAATTTGGAAAGTTGATTTACATCAAGATTGGTACGATCGGAATAACAATAGTAACGCTGTGTGACAAATTACACTAAACACAGCGATAGGACTTTTAGTAAAATGCTTAAAACACGTGTATCGTTGGAGAGCGTTTGGTCAGAGCTGTCAAGTAAGGATCAAAGCGGCCATTCAAATCTTTGAAAGGCTTCAAACTACGACGCACATCAAATTTGACCTCGAAAACTGGCCTCAAGTTACATACTGAAAGCAGTGATTGCGTTTGTCTTCGAGAACCATTGAATACGCGACAAACACGTACAAAAAATACTTTTACAAATTCAGAATCAATCAAAGTTCATGTACCTATGGAAAGAAAAAAGGAACGGCCTACGTTTTATGGAACTTTCAGTCAAAATCTGCCGTTATCTGGGTGCGAAGTTGTTGTTAGTCTGCTATAATCCATTAAACCTATTTGCTCGCTGCCGACTAGTCCATGCGGGTCACGAGGCTGAAATGCTTGCTTCAAGCTGAAGAATACCGTCCGAGCGAGATTTCTAAGATTCTATAGTCATATTCCCCAAAAATGAAACCATAGGTAAATCAAATTCGGATAGTCAGCTTCTTAGATAACATAGTTCCGCAGACACACATTCGGACATAATTTGCATCGGTCTGCGATTAATTTGGTTTAACCGTGTAATCATATGTTTTCTCGTAAACCGCAAAAAAAAAAAAAGTCAGCGCATTCAAATAATGCAGAACAAAATCGCTCGATTTAATCGGTCATATTCTGTCACCTCTTACGGTTCTTTTCCAACTTGTTTACATTGATCTTCGCCAGTTTACCACCAAAAATGATTTTAAATTCAACATTCAAAACTTAATTTAGTTCTATTTGTTTTAGTACTGAACATGAAGACAGTGTGTGGAGTGGCAGCAGCGGGAATAACCTTACTCTCTGTCCGTGAGATTTTGACTCGCTGGTCAACTTATGATCAGTTAGTCACCTGCTTCAAGGATTGTGTGCTTCCTGCTGGTTCAAGATTGATTGAAGTGGGTCAAGGGTGCGTATGCTTCACAATTCAGGTCGACAATCTCATGGGGCTCACTGCTTTGTGGAACATGTACGAGGATGGTACGCTCAAGGAACGTTTATTCGATTTGTTTGTGACTGATGAAATGAAGACCCGTGCCGGTGGTGAAGAGAATGTGGAATTGACTGTGACGATTGAACAAGAAGAATACGAGAAAGCTTACTTTGAGCTTGTTCAAGAAGCTGACGGTGAGTAACTTTATCTGAAGGTGTAACGAACTGAATTTGAAGAACGCAGGAGGATGTTAATTAAAACAAAGGCGTTTGTTGATATATGTTTAAAATCAAAAACACTGGGGATGTTTTTATTCTGCATCTTTTATACACACGCAGGCCGATCTCCTCAGGGGTGGTCATTGCTTCAATAGCAAAGTTAAATTTCTTAGTGTATGGATTGCTCGATTTTGGCCCAATTTGCGTTATTGTAAACTTGAACAACTTTTTATCAAATTCTGCTTTATAGATAACAGTAATAGATCATAGGTTATTGAATCGTTGTAATCTCCTTCATTTTGATTTGCCAACTTAGACTCGTCAGTTTCATCGGCTTATTATATTTCTCGCTTAATTTTGTTTTGGTTGTTGAACTGTAGGAATTTAGCCGTTCAATAACAAGAAGAATATAGGTTTAATCGCGCAGCTTTGCTGCTGCTTCAACCAAATTAAGTTATGAACAAGGGCTGTTTTAAGTAAATCAGATAAACATGTATATTTTTTTTGGCCACACAATTAACTGTGGAATAGGCCCATTGCTTTGTTCGACTCGACGTTATCGTTGCTGGCAATTTTTCACTTCTCATTTTCGAGGCATAACCATTATTAGAAAATCTACAGATTGAGACGAAAAGTTTAATGTCTGAAACATCTGACAGCGGTATAGGAACTGAAGGAACACCATCTGAATTTGACGTGGATATCGGTGGTCAGTATTGAAAAGTCAAAATTACCATGCTTAGTTTCTGTGATAATAATAATAATAGTAATAATAAAAATAAATTTTTTTAAACACGATAAATATGTAAAGCCAGAGGCTTGTGGGATCGTCTTACAACAATATGCCATAAAAAATTTATAAATAATAACATATATATATGTGTGTTATTTGCCGGTTGGGAGGTCCGTATGGTGAAAAACTGTGATCGAGGTCCTGAATATGCTGCCCGAGGCCGTAGGCTAAGGGCAGCATTTTTGAGATCGAGGTCACAGTCTTTCACCATACGGACCGACCCTTAGCCGGTAAATGACATATTTATATTTTTTTTTAACTTAACGAAATTCTTTCCGAAAGAAGCCGAATCGTGATTTAGGGATGTAAATACAGCAAGATCTTACATAAACTGAGCAATTTTTGAGCGAGTAAATGCCGTAGTTAAACTAGAGGTGATGCAAATGAAAGAGAGATGCTTTACTGAAACATTTTCATTTGCGTAATGATAAAGGTGATTTAAGGCCCCGTCCACACGTATCCGGATAAATTTGAAAATTTATCTGCGTCCACGCGTTGCCGTTTGTGAATCGTTTTTGGTGTCCACACGTAAACGTCAAACAATGCCGTGATGAACTGAACAAAATGTGCAAAATTGAACCACTAAATGCTAAGTTTGAAGGAGCCCAAGTAACTTCTGTTGAAACAGTGTTTAAAATACATATCTCTGATTTCCTAAAGCAAAACAGTGACTTTGACCCCATCACTGATAAAATCAAAATCAAAATCAATGGTGATGGTGCCAGAATGACGAGAAATTCAAATTTTATTTTACTTTCATTTTCTTGTTACGTCATCGTTTTCAAATCGTTTTCAAATTTATCCGGATAAGGCGTCCACACGGAGACGCTTAGCCAGCGTTTTCAAATTTATCCACTCTGGAGAGCGTTTTCACATTTATCCGTTTTCGGTGTGTGAAAACGCCGTTTACGTGTGGACGGAACCCGTAACCGTATAAATATTTATCCGTTTTCAAATTTATCCGGATACGTGTGGACGGGGCCTAAAAGGCTTCCAAACAAACTATAAAACATTATTTTTACAAGTATCTGTCACAAACTGACACCTGTCAATTAGAGAGCGCGTAAGAAAAAAAAAGCGCATGTACATTTTTGAAAAACAACCAAACTAGTTTGGCAAGGGCTGTTACGGCAATGTTTTCTTCAAAAACAGTAAATGATCCTACAAAAAGTAATATTCACTCTCATCGAAGATTAATTCATGTACGAAGATTTTTCTCTATTCATTAAGTAAACGGCGAGGAAAGTAATTGTAAGTAAATTCAAAGTTTTTATTTTGAAGTTGTGAGAGTTTGCTCGTTTGTTTCCTGTAATGGCGTGTGTAAATCTGGTCTTTGCTCCATAAAAACTAAATTCGAATGATACACTCCAACGAGACAGAAGGGGATTTAATGCAACCTTTTCTAATCGAATTCCTTCAGTTTCTGTTGTGCAATTTACGGTTAAAATGTTAAAATTAAATTGGAAAGACTCACCGAGAGCGTATATTTTTTTGTAGAACTGAAATTAAAACTTCGCTTGCTCTTTCACTACGAACAAATGGTTTGAGAAAATTCAGATATTAAATGAATGAAAGTTCCATCGATTAGTTCAACTGTAACCAAATACCTCACCTTTTAACTTTCTAGGTACTTTTTGTGAACGAAAAAAAAGTGTCTTAAAAAATGGAATTGCGGTAAAATAAGAAAATTGAAAGAAGCATAAAAAACATCGTTGGGGCCCAGAAGGTAGGGGAACCATGAGGCTTTCGAGCTAATCACAGGAAAACTACATTCTAGCGTCATTATACAACCTCTAGTTCTTTCCAATGCTATGAAATTGTGTTATATCAGAAGCCAAATCCAATCTTTTACTGTCCATTTTTACATATTAAGTATAAGTGTTCTTATTATTACAAAATACCGAAAGATGTGTCTATTTTGCTGTGAATTTTGTTTTAATTTTTTTTTTCAGATAAACGTGACACTCAGAAGGTAGCAGGCGACGATTGGAACTCACTGTCATCAGCTGTGCAGACTGGCAACTTTGCCATCATCGAGGGTATGTTGTCACGTGGCCTGGATATCAACACAAAAAAAAATGATGGTAATATGGCTTTGATTTTAGCTGCTTCGACTGGCAAAAGAGATGGTGTAAATTACCCCTTAGACAAGGAAGCTGATCCCTTTATTGTAGGCCACTCTGGCATTCATCCTCTGCGTGCCGCCTCAAACGATGGTAATGTCGCCATCATTGAGACACTAATGTCACGTGGTCTAGAGATCGATCTAAAAGATAATAGAGAAAAGACACCATTGATGTTGGCTGCAGCGTGTGGCAAGATTGAAGCTGTAAATTATCTTTTAGACAAGGGAGCCGATCCCTCTATTAGTAACCACTCAGGAGGAAATTCACTACACGCCGCTTCACAGAGTGGTAATGTCGCCATCATCGAGACACTCATGTCACGTGGTCTAGAGATCGATCCAGAAGATAATAGCGGAGCTACACCATTGATGTTGGCTGCAGCGTCTGGCAAGATTGAAGCTGTAAATTATCTTTTAGACAAGGGAGCCGATCCCTCTATTAGAAATCAGTCAGGAGGAAATTCACTGCACGCCGCTTTAGAGGGTGGTAATGTCACCATCATCGAGACACTAATGTCACGTGGTCTAGAGATCGATCCAAAAGATAATAGCGGAGCTACACCATTGATGTTGGCTGCAGCTTGTGGCAAGATTGAAGCTGTAAATTATCTTTTAGACAAGGGAGCCGATCCCTCTATTAGAGACGAGATTGGAAGTAATTCACTGCACGCCGCTTCGCGGAAAGGTAATGTCGCCATCCTCGAGACACTAATGTCACGTGGTCTAGAGATCGATCTAAAAAATAATACAGGCAAAACACCATTTATGTTCGCTGCAGCGTCTGGCAAGATTGAAGCTGTAAATTATCTTTTAGACAAGGGAGCCGATCCCTCTATAAAAGACCGGTCAGGTGGAAATTCACTGCACGCCGCTTCGCGGAATGGTAATGTTGCCATCATCGAGACACTAATGTCACATGGTCTAGATGTCGATCTAAAAGATAATAGCGGAACTACACCATTGATGTTGGCTGCAGCTTTTGGCAAGATTGAAGCTGTAAATTATCTTTTAGACAAGGGAGCTGATCCCTCTGTTAGAAACAAGTTTGGAACTAATTCACTGCACGCTGCTTCACGGAAAGGTAATGTTGCCATCATCGAGACACTAATGTCACGTGGTCTAGAGATCGATCTAAAAAATAATACAGGCAGAACACCATTAATGTTCGCTGCAGCTTATGGCAAGATTGAAGCTGTAAATTATCTTTTAGACAAGGGAGCTGATCCCGCTATAAGAGACCGGTTAGGTGGAAATTCACTGCACGCCGCTTCACAGGGTGGTAATGTCGCCATCATCGAGACACTAATGTCACGTGGACTAGAGATCGATCTAAAAGATAATAGCGGAGCTACACCATTGATGTTGGCTGCAGCTTGTGGCAAGATTGAAGCTGTAAATTATCTTTTAGACAAGGGAGCCGATCCCTCTATTAGAGACGAGTTTGGAAGTAATGCACTGCATGCCGCTTCACGAAAAGTTAATGTCGCTATCATCGAGACACTAATGTCTCGTGGTCTGGAGATCGCTCCAAAAAATAACACAGGCAGAACACCATTGATGTTCGCTGCAGCTTATGGCGAGATTGAAGCTGTAAATTATCTTTTAGACAAGGGAGCTGATCCCTCTATAAGAGACCGGTCAGGTGGAAATTCACTGCACGCCGCTTCACAGGGTGGTAATGTCGCCATCATCACCAAAATGCTTTCACTTGGTTTGGATGTCAATTCAAAAGATGGGATAGGTCGCACACCGTTAATCTTGGCAAAACAATATGGTAAAACTGAGGCAGTAAACTTCCTACTTAGCAAGGGAGGACATTAGTTTTTATTTCTTAGTCTCCTATTAAAGGCCCTTAACGAACACCGCTTTAAACCGCACGAGTGTTTAGGGATGCAGGCTTACGAACGATGAATTTTGAGGTAACTCTCATTTTACTTATTTGATATTAACGGTAGTCACTAAAAAGCTGAGTAGTTACAGAAATTTAAAACCTTACCTAAATTACCGGTTTTACAACATTCTTTGCGGAGGACTTTCGTTGGTGAGACAAAGATACAAAGCTTCCTTGGCGGAAAATATGTTTGTCATTGAACAAGCGCTCAGTCAAGATTATTTGGCAAACTAATGGTGTTTTTTGTTTCCCTTTTTTTTTTTGCTTTTAATTCGACTTGTATGATCTAGAGTGGCAATATTGAGCACAGTACTGGTAAACGACTTATTCTCATTATACGGCCAGAAATTTTTTTTTTCGGAGAATAAATAATAACGCGAAGTCAAAAGAGTTGATTGATAAAACATAACCATAAACATAATGAATATTGGGGTGTTTTTATGGACTGAAACGTCGTTCAGTTCCATAGTCGCGAAAAAAAGCGATTGATATAATTTTACAATATTGAGTAAGACTGGATAATAAGTAATTCATAATACCGCGAGAGAAGGAACAAATGAAGGCAGGCACCTCTGACACCTTTTGGCGGAAAATTATGGGATGCCTCTTCCCTGAGCGATTCCCTCTTTGATTGTACAAAAAGATCACCTGCACACGATGTCATCACAAATTTAACATAACTTTACACCCTAACATCAGTATTCATATTCTCCATACTGTTCTTGATACATTTCCTGAGGAGCTGACAAGGAGAATTAGCTGAACGATCCAGAGCTTCTGTAGTTGTTGATCATTTCCGTTATTCTCATGACCTTAATATGTGATTCAAGGGTGATATTGTAAGGAGAAATTAGATGCTAGTCACTCTAATGGGGTTAAAGGGTTAAGTTCAAATTTTTCACCCTTCAGGCTTCTGTCATCGAGTTGTAGTTTATTTCATTCAATCATATATGAACTCAAATGTAGAGCTTTAACCCTTTCACTCCCAAGATCTCATCAGTAATTCTCCTTACTGTCTGCCATACAACTCTTTTGATATTAATTTAGAGAATTTGGTATTGGATCAACCGATATTTCCCTTGTTGATATTTTTCTTTATTCTCATCACTTTTCTGTTTGATATCGTATTGATACTGTAAGGAGAAATTCTGTCTTGATTACTTATGGGAGTTAGAGGGTTAAAGATGTCCCATCGAGGAAACAAGAGCTCTTTCAAAAACCCCTTTAACCTGGTACTCTGGAACTTTGTATCAAAAGTGTTTTATTATTTTTAGTAAGATACATATTTAAAGATGAGAACTGCTGTACACAGTTAATTATTATCACCAAACTCAATGTAGAATAGTGTGTTTAGGTGTTTTAACATTCCCATATAATTCAGTTATATACTCGTTATTCATGTCTAAACTTTAGCCTTAAGTATCAGTATTTCTAAAAGATATGTAGATGATGAAGCATTCTTTTCTTATATTCCAAAGTGGAACTTCTATCAAGTTTTAGACTAACAGGCCATTACATTAGTGATTAAGGCTATTATATCATTGGGACTATACTCTCTATACTTTTATCGTAATACATTGCTGGATCCTAGGAGTGACAGATGACCATATGCTTTGATCATCCAGATGGAAGTAGTCCAAAATCTTATCAGTGACAATGGCTTTATTTCAAAGACATGAACAGAAGTTATTATGACAATCATGCAAGTGAAAAATTGTAAGTTCAATTCTAGTCCTTGAAAAGTGACAAATGTCATTTGGATGATCACACCACATGGCTGAATGTTCTCCTTGGTTAGACGCTTATTAGTGTGTTTTTTTTAATGTTGTCTTGTGATACGGCTGAGAGACTTTTCAGTTATGAGACAATGTTTTATTTGTAATGAATTGGCAACTTTAAAAATGTAGTAGATTAAAAACATAACATTTAAATTGATCTTCTTTTTTTTAGTAAGTAACTTAGTAAATGGCCTAGTTCGATAAATGCAAGAGGTAAAAATTGTAACTGCCACTTTACTTCTCGTTCAAGCCCTTCCCCCACCCCCTCCCCCTTCTCTCTCTCTCCCCCCCCGCCATTTGCCCTCATCTCGTGGGGAACTTATTCTTGATCTCAAAATATGCAAGGAAGCTTTTGAGAATAATCAAATGGTCCTCTCATATGAAGACAATTGTTTAATCTCTGCAACCTTTGATTTGTCACAAAACCGTCTATTTGTAGTTTTACAGCACAACGGGAGATAATAAAAGAATGGAATTATTTTCAAAACAAGATAAGGCGATGACCTCGTTCAGGAGAAGGCGGCTATTCTTTTCAATGAATAAAGGGGGGTACGCCTCTAAAATAAACTGTGGAGCAGCGTTTGTGGGAGAGTATAACAGGGTAATCAAGTTCTATCAACTGAGTTGATAACGTAAATTGGCCACCGTAAATAGTTTAAAAGCTGACGTTTCGAGCGTTAGCCCTTCGCCAACCAAAACTCATTCGCGATTGACGAAGGGCTAACGCTCGAAACGTCAGCTTTTAAACTCATAACGGTGGCCAATTTACGTTATCAACTCAGTTGATAATACTTAGTTACCCTATTCCATCAGATGGTTTATCGATAACAGGGCACCTTGTTACGTAATCGCGGGTGGTCGCTAATTTTAGAAATTTGTGCGCAGAATAGGATGGATAAGCCAAGGAATTGCTTCAAGTTGAAAAAAAGTGCAAAAGCACTGCTAACTTATCACAATATTCCCATAAACCATACTCCCCCATGCTTCTCAGAAATATTTCTAGTCTGTGAGCACTATCATTCCCGGTATTAAAACGAGAAAGACCTCTCTCGTAGACTTGAGTTCAGTCTAAGTTTCGTGATTCAATGCCGTCACCTGCAATTAACCCGAAACGCAAATAATTTTTTTTGGCTATTATAGCAGAGCTCGCAGCGCGCGCAGCACAGCCCCATAATTATCAAAAATATTAGTAACCCATCAAGCCCAAAAAATTTGGACTTACGACCGTACGAGCGTCCTTCAAGGTGCTACTTTTAGCATGCGCGGCCAACTGTACTGCAGGCACTATCTTAGCCATTACGCAATGGAAGGGCGAGGGAGAAGGTAATGTGCAGGCGCAATTGCGTACGTAACTTGGATACCCTATTAGTCTGCGCCAGGAAACACCGGCAGATGACACTAAAGTGCGCACACACGAGTGCCGACCTTTAGTGCTGCGTACCGCGGGCACACAGTTAGGCATTACACGAGGGTTTCACGTGGGCTGGTAAATGTCAAGCCGCGTATGCAAATAATTTGCAACCCGCGTTTTGAGCGGGAAACCAAATTGTTGAGGTTGTAGTTGAACGGTAATTCTCAGCATTTTGTAATTTCTAATTAACTCGAAAGGCAACAATACCGGCAAAACTAAAACTTTTCAACCTGAGGAAACCGTTATAATTCAAGTTCGCCGAGAGAAGGTTTTGTGTGAAAATAGGTTGGAAAGAAAGGGGCAGAGCGACCAAAGAGGGCAAGAAATAAAAGGTGTAAATCGAGTCGAAGAAAACATACAAGAAAGTTAGAAATTAAGGACGCTAAAATAGGCAGAATATGGCGAGAGGAAAGCGAAAGAGAACAAAAAAATAGGCATTGGTAAAAAGGCGAATATCTAGCGAAGAGCAACGCGAGGAGGAAATGCAAAGATGCTCCTGAAAACAGACTGAAAAGAGGTCATCAACAAAGAGAAGCGAACCACAAAGGATTCGAGAAAGAAGAGGAGGTAGGTCTTATTTTATTGAATTGATCATAAGCTGAAGAAGCTCTTAATTTTTGGAAAAATTCTCCTTTGTCATTACCTTAGGAAATGTAAAGAGAACAGAACGGAGAATATGAAGACTGGTATTAGGCTGAAAAGGATTAAGAAACACTTTCCTTCCTTTCTCTTGAGTTAAGAGAAATAAAAATCTGCGCATTCCCGCGCGCATAGCCACACGAGTGGTTTGTTGACAGCAAATTGATGAGTCAAGGCCCGCGAGCGGGGGAAACTAGCGCTAGTGTTCTAACTAAACCTCCAGGAAAACGTTGTGTTTTCCACTACTTTCCTCCCCAAAATTATATTTTTGTACCTAAGAAGATAAATACGCTCTCGAGACATTTTCGTCTAAAATTTACTGTAAGATATTGAAAAAGAGGTAAAACATGGCGAGCCAGTTTCATAAGCCATACCATGTCCTCTTTATCCTGACAGAAAAATCTGGTGTGATGTCTTTTCTGCACAACAATGAAAGTGATGCCCGGCTGGTACCCAACTTCAAGCTCGATACAAGCCTCACGGATGGCTTTTAGTTCGTGACACAACACCTACTGACAAATTTAGCGTCATAACAGTTTTAGTTCTAAAAGTTCGCGAAGAACTTCGTACACAATTGAACACTGACTGGTCTTTCTGCATGTGTTATTGTATGAAATGTTTTTGACACAAGTTTCAAAGTATTACTATCTTATCTAGAATAAAAAAGGAGCAGCAATACTCTTCAGTTTAAACAACTTAAAACGGAAAAATATTCGGCAGGAATAGGCAGCAAATAATATTCACCCATGAACCCCTGTAACTACAATCACTACCTCACCTGTCTAAACTGGCCTTCACTAACTCCATCACGGTAGAAAATGATCCTGACTGGCTTGTGTCTCGTCGAACGGTAAAACTGAATCAATAGCTCGCGGACCATGGCCGCTAATTCGGCAATGATTTCCTGTAAAATAAATAATTGAGCGGAGTCTAAGATCACGTGAGAGTAGGAATAACAAAACGTTTTCTTCAAAAGCTCATGGAGTGCGACTTCGACTGCATTCTCGCGCGACTAACGTACCTGTCGATGTGTCTGAACTCGAACTGAAGCACAGTACCGGCTGGGATGAGCATCCATACTGCCGACAAACACAAAAAGTTA